GTATCCTGATACTTTGCTGAAATCTTCTATTAGTTCCAGTAGTTTTCTTGTGGATTCTTTGGGGTTTTCTGTGTATAAGATCATATCATCTGCAAATAGGGATACTTTTACTTCTTCCTTACCAGTTTGGATGCCCTGTATTTCTCTTTCTAGCCTAATTGCTCCGGCTAGGACCTCCAGCACAATGTTGAATGAGAGTGGTGATAAAGGGCATCCTTGTCTGGTTCCCATTCTCAAGGCGAATGCTTTCAGACTCTCTCCATTTAGGATGGTGCTGGCTGTTTGCTTTGTATAAATACCCTTAATTATGTTGAGGAATTTCCCTTCTATTCTTATTTTGCTGAAAGTTTTATCATGAATGGGTGTTGGACTTTGTTAAATGCCTTTTCTGCTTCAATTGATAAGATCGTGTGGTTCTTATCTTTTGTTTTATTTATGTGATGGATTACATTAATCGTTTTTCTAATGTTGAACCATCTCTGCATACCTGGTATGAATCCCACTTGGTCATGGTGAATTATTTTTTTGATATGTTGTTGAATTCTTGGCTAGAATTTTGTCGAGGATTTTTGCATCTATGTTCATGAGGGATATTGGTCTGTAATTTTCTTTTTTTGGTGGTGTCTTTGCCTGGCTTTGGTATCAGGGTTATGCTGGCTTCATAGAATGAGTTTGGTAATATTCCATCTTTTTCTGTGCTCTGAAATACGTTTAGTAGTAGTGGTGTTAACTCTTCTCTGAAAGTTTGGTAGAATTCTCCAGTGAAGTCTTCGGGGCCAGGGCTTTTTTTTTGTTGGGAGTTTTTAAATTACCTTTTCAATCTCCTCTTTTGTTACAGGTTTATTTAGTTGTTCTACCTCTGTTTGTGTTAGTTTAGGTAGCTAGTGTGTTTCTAGAAGTCTGTCCCTTTCCTGGAGGTTTTCAAACTTGTTGGAGTACAATTTTTCATAGTATTCTGTTATGATTTTTTAAATTTCAGGTGGATCTGTTGTGATATTGCCCATCTCATTTCTTATTTGGGTTATTTGCTTCCTCTTGTGTTTTTCTTTTGTCAGTTTGGCTAATGATTTATTGATTTTGTTGATCTTTTCAAAGAACCAACTTTTGGTCTTATTAACTCTTTCAATTGTTTTTCTATTCTCTATTTCATTTAATTCTGCTCTAATTCTATTTATTTCCTTTCTTCTGATGCCTGAGTGCTTCTTTTGCTGCTCTCTTTCTACTTGTTTGAGTAGTAGGTTTAATGTTTTGATTTTGGCCCTTTCTTCTTTTTGGATGTGTGCATTTATTGCTATAAATTGACCTCTGAGCATTGCTTTTGCTATATCCCAAAGGTTCTGGTAGGATGTGTTTTCATTCTCATTTGATTCTGTGAATTTGTTTCTTCCATCCTTAATTTCTTCTATAACCCAGTAGTTTTTGAGCAAGATGTTGTTCAGTTTCCATGTATTTGATTTTTTCCCCTTGTTTTTCTTGTTATTGATTTCTACTTTTATGGCTTTATGGTAGGAAGAGATGCTTTGTAATATTTCGATGTTTTGGATTCTGTTAAGGCTTGCTTTGTGGCCTAATATGTGGTCTATTCTGAAGAATGTTCCATGTGCTTTGGAAGAGAAAGTATACTTGGCTGCTATTGGGTGGAGCGTTCTGTATATGTCTATGAGATCAAGTTGGTTGCTTGTGGTGTTTAGATCTTCCGTGTCTTTACTGAGCTTCTTTCTGGATGCTCTGTCCTTCACTGAAAGTGGTTTGTTGAAGTTTCCTACTATTATTGTGGAGCTGTCTATTTCTCTTTTCAATGCTGTTAGAGTTTGTTTTATGTATTCTGGAGCCCTGTTGTTGTGTGTATAAATATTTGCTATGGTTATATCCTTCTGGTGTATTGACCCTTTAATCATTATATAGTGTCCGTCCTTATCCTTTGTGGTGGATTTTGCTTTAAAGTCTATTTTTTCAGAGATTAATATTGCCACTCCTGTTCTTTTTTGAGTGTTGTTTGCTTTATATATTTTTTCCCCTCTGAGTTTTATTTGTGTCTTTAAGTCTAAGATGTGTCTCTTGTAGGCAGCATATAGATGGATTGTGTTTTTTATCCATTCTGCCACTGTCTGTCTCTTTATTAGTACATTTAGTCCATTTACATTCAGCATAATTACTGATAGGTATGAGTTTAGTGCTGTCATTTTTATGTATTTGTGTGTGTGTGTGTTGACAGTTTCTTTGTTCCACTTAATTTTCTGTGCTGAGTTGTTTTTCTTGCCTCACTGCTTGCCTCACCGCTCGCGCCAGCTGATCCAGCCTGCAGAGTGCCAGTTCCCACCGGGTCAGGTCTGGCAACTCCTTACGGTTTCTGAACCATCTCTCCCTCCTCCTGCTGCTCAGTCTGATTCCTCAACTTTGTCTTTGACGTTCAGGGCTCCTAGATTGACATATACAATCGATTCACTTGTTTTTTCTGGTCTTTGTTGTAAGAGGGACCACAGGAAGCATCTGACTACTCTGCCATCTTGGCCCTGCCCCCTCTAGATAAGCTTTATTGAGAAAGATTTCTTCTAGGATTTACTAGGATTAATTTTTGTCTAATTTAGGAAGATGCTTAATTTAATCAAATGGGTTTTAGAAATCTGTTTAGAAGTCTGTATAGTTTTTCTCCTTTATTTTTATAGTGAATTATATTAATAAATATCCTAATATTGAACCATAGAATGAGCTGGGAAACTTTCTCTTTTCTTTTTATGTTCCAGAAGAGTTTAATAACACAGGAATTCTGTTCCTTAAAGTCCTGGTAGAATTCACTCATAATACCACTTGGGCTTGGTGCTTTCTTGGGGGTAGATTTTTGCTAATCTGTTCCGTTTTTGTCTGATTATTAGTGTTTTCAGATTTCCTACCTTTTTGAGTAAATTTTAATAATTTCTCTTTTCCTAGAAACTGGTCCATTTTACCTAGATATTAAACTGTGTTGCTATAAAGTTGTTTAGTCCCTTTTGATTAAAAAAAAAAAATTCCCGTTATTTTGCCTTTCTCCTTCCTAATATTATTTATGTTTCTTGGTCAGACTTTCTAGTAGTTTATTTATAGATATTTTCAGAGAAAACACATTTTATTTTACTGATCAAATTCCTTTAAATATCATATATTTCTGGTTACTTTATGAATCCCTTCCTTTTCTTAATTTACTTTGTAGTTCTTTTTCTGCCTTCTTGTTTTGAATACTTAGTTTATTCATTTTTGAACTTTTTCCTCTAATAATTCGTTTTAAAAGTATAAATTTTCCTCACAGTATTGCTTTAGCCGCATTACCTTAGTTTTCATATGTTTTTCTCTCAGTATTATCCACTTGTAAATTATCTCTAATTTCCATTTCATTTCCTCTTTTACCCAAAAGTTTTTTAGATGAGTGTTTTTTCCAATCAGATTTTTTAAAACCTTCTTTTTGGTATTAATTTCTAGTAATCAGAAAATGTGAGCTGTATGATTTTTAATGTTTTGGAATTTGTTGAGTTTTTCTGTGGATTAATAAATTTTTGTAAATGTAATGAATTTGAAGAAAATGGATTCTATTTTTTGGGTAAAAATATATTTACATTAATTTACACATGTACATAAAATCATATAGATTAGATCAAGCTTGTTAATTAAATTACTCAAATATTTTCTTCCTTTTTAATTAAAAAGTATTTTTATTCTTCCTCTTTTTTAATTGACATAAAAAAATTTCCATAGAATCACAGCTGTTAGAAATGTAAGGGACCTTGAAGTCATCAGATCTTGATAAGCAAGTGGTTGCTATTTCCATGTTACAGTTGAGACACTAGAAGCCCAGAAAGATTAAGTAATTTACCCAAGGATGCCAAGCTAATGAACAAGAAAATGAGGATTAGAGCTCAGGCTTTCACAGTCAATCCATAAACAGGATGCCAGTCAGGGATGGTGCCCATTATCCTTCCTATCTGAACACAGACTACATTAACAATATAGATCAAGAACTGCTGTTGCTAAGTCAGAATGCTGACTACATAGCATATAATAGTTTATTTGATTATCTTGTGTTTGCTTATGCTTACTTAGGAAAGTGGAAGGTGAAATCTTTAAGTTGGAGCTGCTACTTGAAGATGTTAAAGAGAAAGTTGATGAACACAAATATACTTCACCTCCCTCTCTTCCCGTGAGTTCTCCAATCATCCTGGATGACTTGGTATCCGTATCTTCTCTACCCTCAAATGAGGTAATATAGCAACTTACAACCTAATTTGGTGCCAGAAAGCAGGTTTTTATGCATTTGTAGGATCTTAATTCATGGAATTACTGAATCTGTTTTAATACATCATGAAAACTTAACTTTCCAAAGTCCCATGAATCACATTGAGAGAAGCCCTGGTGGCACAGTGGTTAAAGTGCTCGGCAGCTAACTAAAAGCGCAGCAGTTTGAACTCACTAGCTGCAGGGGAAAAAGATGTGACAGTTTGCTTCAGCAAAGATCTACAGCCCCAGAAACCCTAAGGGGCAGTTCTACTCTGTCCTATAGGGTCGCTATGAGCTGGAATCGATGTGACCGTTTTTTTTTTTTTTTTTTTAATTAGAAGCTATTTCAAGCATTGGTTTTTGGAAAAGTCTCGTTTGTTTTGGATGTAACAACGCTGTTTAAACCGATGAACTGTTGAAGAGCTATTCTGGATGAATAGTAAATTTTTTTGTGGATTGCATCTGGAAGAAATAATTTTTCTTCTTGATAGTTTTTTTGTTTCTTAAATAAAAGATAGCACACTCAGTGTAAGAATGATTTCCCATGAGTCCACTTCTAATTTTTCCTTCTCTCCAGTTAAATTCTTTTGGATTATCTACATATGCAAGGTTGAGAATTCAAATCAATCACCACTGTCTTTCTTCTTTCTCCACTTATTGTTTTTGTAGAGACAACTATCAGAGCATTTCAGACTAAATTGAAATTCTGGGAAACTCTGAATCATTTGACCAATTGCCTTAAACAGACTGTTTCATTTCATACAGTATTTGAAGACTGTGGCTGACATTCAAAATGTGAATGAGGTTTTTTGTTAGAGCCAAGGACATGATGAAGATTACATAATCGTTTGCCCTTCCAAAGAAGTGTTTGCCTCCTCAAAACACTCAGTGGCCTGGCAAAATCTCACTCATTCAAGGCCCAGCTTCAGAGTTAGGGCATTTGTGTAACTTTGATACACACACCCCACCTCAGGCAGAATTCTTTGCTCTGTCTTCAGTGTTTCCACAGCACTGTGTCTCATTGGTCTGTGCCTTACTCCTCTGTATCCTGATCATCTGACTTAATGTGGTATAGAGTCAATGCTCCAGTGTTCAGTAGAGTAAACCCTGAGCCATTGTGGATGTAACCAATTTCAACACTTTGCAAGCAGTCTCCAAGGTCCACAGCATGTTATCCTGAGTCCTAAACTGGAATCACACTTCAAGGTATTGTGAGGGAGCCCAGTGAGTCAGTCCAGCCACCTGCCAGCAGCTTCCTCAGGTCTGGGTTTGCTCATCTTCATTTGGCCAGCGGTTAAGAGCTCAGGCTGCTAAACAAAAGGTCGGAAGTTCGAATCCAGCAGCCACTCCTTGGAAACCCTATGGGGCAATTCTACTGTGTCCTAGAGGTTTGCTATGAGTCGGAATTGACTGACAGCAATAGACAACACAGTAAGTTTACAGCAACTGTTGCGAAATGATGAGAAATCGATTACTTTGTGCTAAGTAGCCCTGAAAAAAGAGTCTACTGCTGGTGTTTTTATTCATTCATTCGCAGCCCTAGTGGCACAGTGGTTAAGGCACTCAGCTGCCAACCAAAAGGTCAGCAGTTCGAACCCACCAGCTGCTCCATGGGAGAAAGCTGTGGCACTCTGCTTCCGTAAAAGATTTACAACCTTGGAAGCCCTATGGGGGCAGTTGTACTCTGTCCTATAGGGTTGCTATGAGTTGGAAATCGACTCGACAGCAGTGGGTTTAGTCATTCATTCAGCAAATATTTATTACTATATGCTTAGGCACCTTTCCAGCGTATAGCAACAAAGCATTCAGCTACTAACATAAAGGTTAGGGGTTCAAGTCCACACAGAGGTGCCTTCAAGAAAGGCCTGGCGATCTACTTCTGAAAGATCACAGCCATTGAAAACCGTGTGGAGCACAGTTCTACTCTGACACACGATTGCCGTGAGTCAGAATCAGCTTGACAGCAAGCGGATTTTTTTTTAAGGCACCTTTCTAGGTATTGTGGGTTTAGCATAAACAAGGCAAACAAATCACCTGCCCTCAAGGTGACTTTCATTTCTGTGAGGGAGACATACATTAACAAATAAAACAAACATACAACTACAGAATGTTAAAAACGCTGTGCAGGAAGTAATATTGCATGCTGCAAATTATGTAACCTCTCTGTGCCTCAGTTTCCTCATCTGTAAAATGGAGATAATAATACTACGTGCCTCACAGGGTTGTTATGAGGTTCAAATGAGTTTATATAAAGTACTTTAAGTGGGGGTCTGGCTTATAGTATGGTGCTCCCTGGGTGCTAGTTACCATGACTATTAGGTAATGGGATGTAGCCAAAAGTAACTAATGGGAGGGTGGGGATACTAGGGAAAGATGGTCAGAGAAAGCTTTTCAGAAGAGGCAAGATTTGAACTGAGTCCTAGAGGATGAGGATGGCGCAGCTAGGTGAGGAGTCCAGGAAAAGGCACTTCTGGCAAGATGTCATGGTGTTATTAGGTGTGGTCTGGGGCTCCCGTGGGAGGAAGATATGGCAGTCTGCTTCCATAAAGATTACAGCCTTGGAAACCCTATGGGGCAGTTCTACTCTGTCATGTAGGGTCCTTATGAATCGGAATCCACTCTATGGCAATGGGTTTGGGGATGTTGAACTGATTTTGAGCCATTTCCTGTGGTACTGTAGCCTTAACGGCAAGTCCTTCTGTGTGGTTTCCCACAGATTCCCAAGGAGCTCCCTGGTCACCCTTCTGAGCCTCCAGGCACACGCGGAAGCAAGGGGACAGGGGTGACCCGGGCAGGACCGCAGGAGGCTCTCTCCGAGGAGCTCTGTGAGCTGGACCCGCAGACGTGAGTCCTGCCCCCCGGCCCCCACCTCACCCCCTCATCTCCCCTCCTCCCGCAGCCTCTGGGAGAGAAGGCAGGGGGCCGCCGGCCTGGTCCAAGCGGCTGCTCCGTAGGTTCCAAGAGGCCCTCGTGGGAGAAGTAGACTTAGACTGCGTGTTACAATACGGCGGACTGCTCCTCCACCTGCACCCCGACAACCAGGGGGCCTCTGCAATGCCCGGGACGGACATCCAAGGAGCAGAGGAGCGGGAGGGATGGGGGTGGGGATGGCGGTGGTGGGAAAATAGGAGAAAGGTCCAGTGGTCACATGATGTCCCCACCACTCTCTGCCTCAGGTTGCACGTGCCCACCGCCCCAAGACTCCTCACCAGATTAAAGAAGGACCAAATAATCCCAACATGTGGGGGCTCCCAGGTAGCTCAAGAACTGATTCAAAAATTCAAACTGCTGTTTATTTATTTTTACCAGTTACCTAAACTGGCCAAGCGGCGCTGCGGCTGCCGAGGACCTGCCGGATCAAATGTCCATAAGGCTGTCTTCTGTCTCCAGGGTAATGTCCAGTTGCCCAGTCCTGGTTCTGCTCTGTTCACCGTAACCATAACTAGTGTTGCTGAATGTAACGTTGAAATTGGCATAATGAAGATCACCTTATACAAATTGGCACCTTGGATGTCGGTGCTGGTGATAACGGCAGGTATAACTAATAACCCCACTTTTTCAGCACTCAGGAGAAACTTAGCTAGGTATGTGTTCAAGACAGGGCTTTGAACCGGTTTGTTCAGGTTCGAAACCCTGCTGAGTATTTGTAGTTCTAACAAGTTGCCAGGTGATGCTAATGCTGCTAGATAGAGACCAGTTCTGAGAACCACTAGCAGAGCAGTGGTTCTCCAGCTTTACTGTAGGTAAGAATCACTTCTAACCCAGGGATCTTGTTAAATGTAGACTCTGATTCAGTATATCTGGGGGTGGAAATGCAAATTCTCAGCAGGGGTCTGAACTGGAATGAACCGGTTCCCTGGTTCTAGACCAGGGTTTTTCCAACTTTAATGTGGGAGGACTCATCTGTGGATCTTGTTAATGTGCAGACTCTGATTCAGTAGGTCTGGGTGGCGCCTGTGATTCTGCATTTCTAACAAGCTTCCAGGTGATGCTGATGCTGCTTGTCCCAGGACCATACTTTGAGTAGCCATGGTCCAGAGATTATCTCACGAATGAACTGGAAATACAGGGATTAAAGACCCCTGGGTCTAAAATGATAACGATATTATAATAAGCCCATTCTATTGGTTCAGAGCTTTACAGTTTACAAAGATTTTTTGCAGAAAACAAGTTGGAATGTTAGAAAAGTGAGATTTGCCCAGGGTAAAATGGCAGGTTATAATAGATTGGAGTTTCCCAAATGTGGTGGGTTGGCATCTCCCTACATTCGGTTTAAGCCAGTCTGTCTCAAATGTGAAGTGCAGGGGTGACCCTGCAGGGTTAGAAGTGGGAGAAGAAAACACAGAAAAAAAGAGGAAAAAACCTTTTAAAAATTATAAAAGTGATATATGCTTATTGCAGAAAAAAAATCAGAAAGTAAAGTATGAAGAAGAACATTTCACTGGGAGAAAAATTATTAACATTTTAGTATATGCTTCCAGTCTTTCTTTAATCTCTGCATACACATATATAAGGAGCTCTGGTGGCACAACGGTTAAGCACTCAGCTGCTAACCAAAAGGTTGGCACTTCAAACTCACCCAGTGGCTGGGTTCCCCTAAAGATCACAACCTAGAAAACCCTATAGAGCAGTTTTACTCTGTCATAAAAGAGCCCTGGTAGCACCGTGGTTAAGCGCTCAGCTGCTAACTGAAAGGTTGGTGGTTCAAACCCACCAGCTGCTCTGTGGGAGAAAGATGTGGCAGACTGCTTCAGTTAAGATTACAGCCTAGGAAACCCTATGAGGCAATTCTGTTCTGTCCTACAGAGTCACTATGAATTGGAATCCACTCAATGGCCACAGGTTTGGTTTTGGTTTATAAGTTGAAAATCAACTCGACAGCACCTAACAACATACACATACTGTATATACATTTAAAAAAAAATAGAATCATACTATATTGTTTTATGATTTGCTTTTTTTCATTTAACAATATATTGTGGACACCTCTCCATGTCACTTAGAATAAACCTATATCTTCATTTTTAATGACTACATTGTATTTCATTATATGGATGTGCCCTGATTCATTTAACCAATCCTTTACTGATGTCATTTAGTTTTTTCCCAGTTCTTTGATATTATAAACACTACTTCAAGTACCATCATTTTACTTGCAAACTTTTGGCTGTAGTTCATGATTTCCTCAGGATAAAAACTTAGGGGTGCAATTAATGGTTCAAAAGATACACATATTGAAAATTCTGATAAGCTGGACTCTTAGCAAGGTGGTGCCAGTTTATAAGCCTACAGCAGGCTGTGGGAATGTGGGTGTCTCCACCCTCAGCCCACCCTGTGAATTGTTTTCTTTTTCTTTTCAACCTTTGCTAAAGTGATGAGTAAAAACTGCTATCTTATTGTTTTTGTTGGTGTTTTTTTGACTGTTTGTGAAATTCAACCTATTTTCACATGCTTCTGGACCATTTGCACCCTTCTCTTTGATAACATCAACATTTTAACTTATTTTGCAAAACTGAAAGCAGTTAATGTTTTAAAAAGACAGACAACTGGGAAAATATTAAGAGTAATGTTGAGCTCTTTATTATCCAAAGTGCTCCAACATATGCACAAAGGAGCAGTAGAATTGTGGTTAAGAACTCATGTATGTGAGTCTGACAGTTAAAGGTTCAAATCCTGGCTCTGCCCCTTACTCTATGTAACTTTGGCAAGTTGCTTAAATTCTCTGAGCCTCAGATTATTCATTATTGATTCATTATCAAAATGCGGACAACGTGGGATATGGGAAGGAATAAAGGAGACTAATATGAGAAGTGGGAAGGGGGCCCTGGTGGTGCAGTGGTTAAGAGCTACACTGCTAACCAAAAGGTCAGCAGTTCGAATCCACCAGGCATTCCTCGGGAACCCTATGGAGCAGTTCTACTCTGTCCTATAGGCTCACTATGAGTCGGACTCAACAACACAGGTTTATTGGAAAGCCTGGTGGTGTAGTGGTTAAGTGCTATGGCTGCTAACCAAAAGGTCGGCAGCTCAGATTCACCAGTCACTCCTTGGAAACTCTATGGGGCAGTTCTACTCTGTCCTATAGGGTCACTATGAGTCGGAATCGACTTGATGGCAACGGGTTTGGTTTTTTAATATGAGAAGCACCTGGCACACGATGAACAATCAATAAATGATTGTTTTTATTAGTAAGGACACACTGAAACCCTCCAAAAAACTAAATGGACAAAGGAACTAAACAGTCACAAGCAGGAAATACAACCAATAAATAAGCACGTGGTAAAATTTTTATGTCCATTAATAACATAGGAAATGCTAATTAACACAAAGTGCCACCATCTGCCCCTCCCCCCTTTATAAATGAACAAAAGCGTTGCCAAGTGATAATTCCTGACACTGAGGAAGGTGTGGTCAAATCGTGCCAGCCCGCATTTTTGGTAGCTGTGTAATCCCTACGATCTTTGTGGAAAGCAATTTGGCAGTGAGTATCATCACACAAACATGTTTGCAACCTTTGACCCAGATGTTTCCTAAGGAAGTAATTCAAAACATGGAAAAAGCCATCTGTACAATGGTGCTCATGCCAGTATTGTTTATGATGGTGGAAAGAGTACATTTATCTTCAGCTTAAATAAAGGATAAGACTGTAATAAAAATACATGCTGGATAGCATGAGCCCTTTCGGTTCAGTAATATATGTTTGTGTTAAAGAGGGATTTATAATCAATAATTTAGGCCTGTAGCTAGTCTGTAAATCTTGTTTTAAGTCATAGTTGAATACATTGCTTTGGAAGAGGTCTGCTAACTAGTGGTTAGGTAGTAGGTTTAAAAACCATCGTCTTAAATCATCTTATTCTCTGGTGGAGCTTGGAGTAATTTGAAACTAGGGGAAATTTTTTTTAAAAAAGTAAAAGCATTCTCTCATCTGTAAACTAGATTTAAAAATCTGTTTGGACAAGGAAAGAAGTTTAGCCAGTGTTGAAGTTTCTTTTCTACAAGCCCCAGGTCATTAGAAGCACAGACCCCACCGAGAACTTAGAATTAAAGATGGATTATTTTTTCTTCCTGCTATTCCGCTGGGCCTCAGTTTCCCCATCTGTAAAGGGAGCGGCTTGGTGAATCTATCCTGAATTCTGAAATTCAGCAGGCGAGTCCAGCCCGGTCTGAGCTGCTCACTGAACTGTGCTTGGCAGTGGTGGGAGTGAGTCACATCCTCTGTCACATCCATGTCTGTGTGTGCTTTGCGGTACAGGAGGACCCCAACAACACTGTGGGAGGGCAGAAACATGCAGAGACAACGGCGCCAAGTCCAGGCTGTGCCTTCTGCCACTGGGCCCTTGAACGGTGAGGGCTTCTTGCTGCTAACTTCCCAGGGTGGGTGGGTGTCGATCCCGGCATATTCGCTGTAGTGAGAGTGGCAGTCAACTGACTGGACGAATGCCAGAAGCTGCTGGTCAAGTTATTATAGGATCTCAATGTCAGGGTGGGGCACATAGCCCAGCTTCCCTCCCAGCTTACAAATCCCTCTAGCAGTGGTTCTCAACTGGGGCGAGCATCAAAATCCCCAAGCAGATTTTAAATAATTCACATGCCTCGGCCCCACCTACTGAGTCAGCTTCACCAGGGGTGGAGCCCTGGCAAAAATATTTTTAAAACTCTTCCCAGGTGATCCTGATGAGGCCCCTTGGTTAAGAATCACTGCTATGGCTCTTGGGGAGTAGTCTTGTAGGCTGTGTTTTAACTTTGCCCAGATGAGGGTTTATTGTACACCATTGTATACCAGCTTCCACCATCACTACTTATGATGAACAGAAATCTTCACTGTGGGGTTCCACCCCTGCCTATTCATCCCACTGGAAACAAGCCTAATCCCTCTTCTCAGGGCTTGCTTCTTCCCATTCTTAAGCAAGAAATCTTCCAGAGGTAGTAAGAATTGTACATGTAAAGAACCGTAGATGTAAAATTCTTAGTGTTTTAGAAACATTCATGGGATCAACCATTAGCACATGTGGATTCAGAATTATTTATCTGATGCTTCAGTCAGTTACGAGTCCCTGGGTGATGCAAATGGTTAACATGCTCAGCTGCTAACCGAAAGGTGGGAGGTCCGGTCCACCCAGAGGGGCCTCGAAAGAAAGGCCTGGTGATCTACTTCCAGAAAGCAGCCATTAAAAACTCTGTGGAGCACAGTTCGACTCTGACACACATGAGGTCACCATAAGTCGGAATCGACTCAACAACAACTGCTTTCAGTTAGCTAGAGGTGCACTACCTCTAAGCTCACAGGGCAATGTGGACTTTGTCCAGAGCTCGGCTTATTTACCTTTGTAAGGTCAAGAGTCAAGGAAGGAGGAGCTGTTTAGTATGTAATCACTAAAAGGACTCTAACAGAAGCAGATGACAAGGTCTGAAAGACTAAAGTTTCCTGTTAGAAAGCATTTTACCACAGAAGTGGGTACTTGTCCTAAGTGTTCTATGAGTTTCCTCCCTCTAAAAAAGAAAACAGCCTGATGTTTGTGCTAAAAATCACCATGTGTCATGTGGGTGAACCATTACTTTACACCAAGATGTCAGTGATCACCTCTGAGCTCTCCTTTACATACAAGGGGCACTAATGATGCTTACTCACTGGATCATCCCAGGCCTGTTTTTATTTATTGAAGTAAAATCTAGATTATAGTTTTTTTTTTTTAGGTTTTATTAGGTATAATAAAAATATTTTGACATTTAATAAACATTTTGATTAAGCATTCAGGGCACTAAATGTTTCTGTCCCAAATTCCTAATCTAGACCCTATAGAGTCTCAAATACCAAGACACGGACCAATGTCCCAGACTAAATTTACTCTTTTATGGTGGACAAGATAGAAAGACAGAAGAACAACCAAGTATAAAATCCGATCTAACACTGAATCCACTGCTGGGGAGTAATGAGGAGATACACAATTTATACATAGCAATTTTGTTAAACTACATCATCCCTGAGGAATTATTAATTGGAAAAAACAAGTTGCTGTTGAGTCGATTCTGACTCATGGCAACGCTATGTGTTACAGAGTAGAACTGCTCCATAGGGTTTTCAGTGGCTGATTTTTCAGAAGGCCTTTCTTCCAGGTGCCGCTGGGTGGACTCGAACCTCCAACATTTCTGTTAGGAGCCAAGTGCGTTAGCCGTTTGCACCACCTCGGGACTGCATTAATTAATGGGAGGGCCACATACTCTTTATGATTCATAAGCTGTGTTATCTTTTAGAAGATTAGATATATCTCGGAGAGAACACATTCTTTATGAAGCTTGCCAATGTCAGTACTGAATATTTGCAAATTGTTTTATATGTGCCCATAAATAATATACACACTAAATGTAAACGTCTTTTTGTGTTATTTATGGTGTGAAACTTTGGATTTAAGAGTATACTTTTCTACCTACTTTGTTTTGTCGAGAAACTGCCTCTTGGAGTAGAACTGCCGTCTGTCGTTTTGGTCAGTAAGAAGATTTTAGTGCACAAAGGAGTCTAACAGCAGCAGGGAAAGAGAGTTGTGTGTTGAACTGAACTCACTTGAGTGAGGTCCAAGGTTTCCACTTTGGGGAGCAGACGTTCAAATGCCCTAAAGGAGGAGGGTGGAGACAGAAAATGAAGTGTGAGAAAATACATGAGTCAGGAGGAAAGCTTGTTTTTCCAAGAGGGAAATGGTCTGGCTTCTCAGCCCCCAGCACCATAAACCCCAAGCACTGGGCCTCTCTCTGCCAGCAGCAGGCCCAGGCACAGTTGGACGAGGGTGCTGTGCTTGCTAAGCAATGCCTCAGGCTAATACCTGAGGAATCAGTCTTGTCCCATATCCAGGGCTGGTCCAGGATAACTTGGGCACAGAGCCCTCCACACTAAGAATGAGCAACTTTCCCTTGGGGCTATTACTGTATCCCAGGGGCTGGGCAAGAGCTATGTTAAGAATTGTTGTTAATTAGAATTCGTTTGAACGAATTAGAATTTCTGTGAAGGAGGGAGGCCAAAGCTGCGGGTTAGAGGAGTCTCCTGCTAAACGACAATTGGAGTTTCTCCTCTCTGGTTCCCCCTTGTGGCCTTATGCAGCTTCAGTTAATCCCACATGCTCCCATAGCCTTTAGCCCTACAGATATGGGGCAAAACCATCTTTTCTGGACTTTTTTGATACAGTCAGCTTGTGTTTATGGAGCTAAAGCCATATGACCCAGTATGGACGTACTTCACAGCTTCTTTCTCCAATAAGAATTGATTTTCAGACAGGTATATGAGGAAAATCCACAGTTTATAATTCTGTACTTCAAATTTCTATTTTGTACAAATGCGTATGATGATTAGATATTATCCTCTGTGGAACAAAACAGAGTTATTTATTTATTCGTATATATTTGTGGTGAAGATTTACACAGCAAAACATACATCAATCCAACCATTTCTATATTACAATCCAGTCACATTGGTTATATTCTCCAGTTTGGGCCAGATATTCTTTCTTGGTATCCTTTTCTGAATTGTTTGACCACAATCAACACAAACTCACTGCTCCCCAAGCTTCTAAGCTGCTCTTCTAACCTTTTCAGTTGCTGTTGCCAGTATGATCTCATAATGATAACCCTTTGAGAGAACACAATGCTCCAGGCAGACATTCTTTTCTAATTAAGCTAAACTGTGGTTTAAAGATGACTTTAAGGGATGGTTTTGGTTTAAGTTTTAAAGATTTAGTTTTGAGGGTTCGTCTAGCCTCAAGGGTTCCAGAAGGTCTGGATTCCATGAGAACTTGATAAAAGATATTTATTTTTAAGGTTTGGTGTAAATGTTATCAGGCCAAATTGTGCTGGGTGCAATTTCTTATGGGGTAGCTCTAAAATAGGCAGGCAGAGGGGAACTCTGTTGAGAATGACACACGCCACCTACATCATTCCAGGCTGTGATATAAGTTAACATTTTTGTTTTACCAATACTTTTCCTATCTCTGTTATTAGAAGTGTACTAAAAGTTGATGGGATCTTATGCACCTTTTCTAGGAAGCAAAAAATGGAGAAAAGAGGCCACAGAAGGATCAGCTGTGGAAGATTTTCAATCGTCATTCAAGAAAACCCACTGCACCTGTGTTCAGCTTGCAGTAAGTAGAAAGGCCTGGGGCTGCTCGGGCTCAGTCTTCACGGCCCCTCTCCATGTGATCTGCTCAAGTTGGGAACCAGCTTACCATCTGCCGCTCCACATAGCATTGCCCTGGACTGGAGTGTTGTGTGTTGTATTTTTTAAGCAAAATGTGAAAAATTCACAATTGAATAGATTTAAATAAGACATGGTCGAGTAGGGTGAAGAGCTAATACGTATTTCTGACTGGAATCACAGGATCCCATGCACCCAGCCACCAGGTGCCCTCCATTCTCTTTGTCATCATCCTTCCACCATGATCCATAACTCTGCACCGAGTAAGGTTACCAGCCACCTGAGAGTCGTTCCTGAGTGGTACCAGCTTGTCCACACACATTTTGTAGAGGCAGAGAATGTTAGAGCTGGGAACAGACTAAGGGAGCACCCAGTGCATGGAATTCAATGGCTTTTAGTCATAGGATCTTTTCTCCAAAGATAGTTTAAGCAGAAAAAATCCCCTGGCAGAACTGTCTTGGTGAAGAAGAGGTGAGGCGAAAGGCCTACCTGCTCAGGCAGCCCCTGAGCTGGACAATCACTGCCGGAGCCTGAGCTGCCCAGGTTACACACAAGTAAATGGGGCAGACAGCCAATGAGGCCTGCCTACACATTCACACAGGCTGTTTGCACAGAGCCTTTCCTTCGACTTGGTATTCTTTCTGTTATGTCACATTTACTTCTATGCTGGCCTCTCTGTAGATGATACATTTTCACATAATAACAATAATAAAACCAAAAGTTGCCAGTGAGTTGATTTTGACTCATGGCGACGCCATGTGTGCATAGTAGAACTGCTCCATAGGGTTTTCAAGGCTGTGACCTTTTGGAAGCAGATCACCAGGCCTTTCTTCTGAGGCACTTCTGGGTGGGTTCAAATTGCCAACCTTTTGGTAGTAGTTGAGAGCTCAACCATTTATTGAATACTTATGCTATAACAGGGTCCAGTAAAACTGGTTGCTGTCAAGTAGATTCCAACTCATGCTACCCCATGTGAGTTAGAATAGAACTGTGCTTCATAGGGTTTTCAGTGGCAGATTTTTCAGAAGTAGATCACCAGGCCTTTCTTCCAAGGCACCTCTGGGTGAACTTGAACTACCAACCTTCAGATGGCAGCTGAGCATGTTAACCGTTTCCACCATCCAGGGACTCTATAACACAGTAGAGGTTTTCAAAGTATGGTCAGAGGGCTCCTGGAGGTCCCTGAGGCCCTTTCAGGGGGCCACAAGGTCCTCCCTTCTCCAACTACATATCTGTGTGAGGCCACATGTTACAACAGATGGAATGCAGAAGTAGCAATGGAATCCAGCTGCCTTCTATTAAGCCAGAAATTCCAGATATTTTGCCAAAACATAAAACAATACCACTCTTCTCACTATTTTTTTTTAATTTTAAAAAATATGGTTATTTTTCATTAAAATATGTTATTTTGTTAACATGAAATGGATTGTTGTTACTTTTAAATGACATAATAATAAAATGTTTTTTAAAAGTTTTTAATTTCTTTTTTTATTTGGAAACTATTATCATATTCAGCAAAGAAGTTACTCGTGTCATTGGAGAACAAGTGAAATTTTAACACGTCTTTGTTGTTTCACTTTTGTCTTACCTATAAATTAAGTATATATATCAACCAACATTCATGTCGGGACTAGGTAGTTGAGATGCAACTCCATTTGTCAAATTACGGTTAAATTGTGTAGAATTTGCAACAAAGAATATTATATATATATTCATTATTATTATTTGTAAATTCTGTACTATAGTCTGTTATATCAGTAAAATTTCTAATAAACATATTTATATTTCCAGAGAATCAGTTGTTAAACATTTGCTAGTGTACCCCTGCTCCTACCGTCCCCAGAAACGGCTCTTCACCAACGACGCCCTTGTTCCTAAATCCTGAGGTCTCGTTCAGACTTAAGCTTGACCAGCATCTAGTAGGTAGACCCCTCCCCTCTTTTTGTTATTGTGCTTTAAGTGAAAATTTACAATTCAAGTTAGTTTCTCATACAAAAATTTATACACACATTGTTATGTGACCCTAGTTGCTCTCCCTATACGGTGACAGCACACTCCTCCTTTTCACCCCAGATTTCCCGTGTCCATTCAACCAGCTCCTGACCCTCTGCCTTCTCATCTCACCTCCAGACAGGAGCTGCCCATTTAGTCTCATGTATCTACTTGAGCTAAGAAGCACACTCTTCACGAGTATCATTTTATATCCCATAGTCAAGTCTATATCTGAAGTGTGGGCCTCAGGAATGGTTTTAGTTTTGGGCTAACAGAGTCTGGGTGCCATATCTTCCAGGGTCCCTCCAGTCACAGTCGAACAATTAAGTCTGGTCTTTTTACTAGAATTTGAGTTCTGCACCCTACTTTTCTCCCGCTCCTTCAGGAACTCTCTGTTGTGTTCCCTCTCAGGGCGGTCATTGGTGGTAGGCAGGCACCATCTAGTTCTTCTGGTCTCAGGCTGATGGAGTCGCTGGTTTATGTGGCCCTTTCTGTCTCTTGGGCTAATATTTTCCATGTGTCTTTGGTATTCTTCATTCTCCTTTGTTCCAGGTGGGTTGGGACCAATTGATGCATCTTAGATGGCCGCTCACTAGCTTTTAAGATCCCAGACACCACTCACCAAAGTGGGATGTAGAGCATTTTCTTTATTTTTTTTTCATATTGTACTGCAAAGCATTTTCTGTATAAACTTTGGTATGCCAACTGACCTAGATGTCCCCTGAAATCATGGTCCCCAGGCCCCTGACCCTGCTACACTGTCCCTTGAAGTGTTTGGTTGTATTCAGGAAACTTCTTAGCTTTTGGTTTAGTCCAGTTGTACTGACTTCTGCTGTAGTATGTTGTCCTTCCCTTCACCTAAGAAATTCTTGTCTACTATCTAGTTAGTGAATTCTTCTCTTCCTCCTTCCCCACCCTCATAACCATCAAAGAATGTTTTCTTCTGTGTTTAAACCTTTTCTTGAGTTCTTACAGTAGTGGTCTCATGTAATATTTGTCCTTTTGCGACTGACTAAATTCACTCAGCATAATGCCTTCCAGATTCCCCCATGTTATGTTTCACAGATTCATCGTTGTTCTTTATCGTTGCGTAGTATTCCATTGTGTGAATATACCATAATTTTTTATCCATTCGTCCATTGATAGGTACCTAGGTTGTTTCCATCTTTTTACTATCGTGAACAGTGCTGCAATGAACATGGGTGTGTATATATCTATTCGTGTGACTGCTCTTATTTCTCTAGGATATATTCCAAGGAGCGGGATAGCTGGATCATATGGTACTTCTATTTCTAGCTTTTTAAGGAAGCGCCAAATCAATATCCAAAGTGGTTGTACCATTTTACATTCCAACCAACAGTGTATGTGTTCCAGTCTCTCCACAACCTCTCCAACATTTATTATTTTGTGTTTTTTGGA